ACTACTACGTCCTAGGACTCCTCAAGAACCCAACCACACCACCACAGTACCCCACCAAATCATCCAACCGCTTCTTTTCCCTTTCCTGCTGCTCCTTCCACCTAGCCAACTCCTTCAGCAGCGTCTCGCTTTCCATGATCACGTCAAAGTGCAGTCGCAAAAAGACCGTCATCCACGCTTGCGTGAGCTCGTAGTCGCGGCGTTGGGCGAGGCGTTGCGTCATGGCGCGGATGAAGTGGAGGAGTTCGTTGCTGTCTTCAGAAGACTCCGGATCAAGGCCGCCGATGGAAAGGGAGCGGAGTTCGAGATCGGCGGTGGAGGGGGAGAGGGACTTGAGGTGGGTGATAAAGGGGGTGTCTATAAGTAGGGGGAATGGTTAGTAAAATAAATCGGAAAGTCAAAAGGGAGGGAAAAAAAAGGAAAAGGGAAAAAAAAGAAAAAAAAAAAGAAACTTACAATCACCCGTCCCGGCACCCTCCAACAACTTTGCCGTAAACGTCTGATACGTCCTTGTCGTCTCGAGTTGCGTCAATTTCGAAATTCGGCTCTCCTCCTCATCCTTCTTTTCGCCCTCCGTCAACAGCAGTGGGTTCGTCGTCCCATCCCGGAGTGAAGGCAAAAAGAAGGGCGCCTTCTCAGGCGCCTTGGGCGGCTCCTTGGGCTTGTTGCGCTGCTTGATCAGGTCAATATGCAGCAGCGTCTGCCACCTGCTCTTGGGCACCAGACTGAGCGTCACCATGTCGGCGCTGAGCTGATCGAGGACCGGCGCGGACACGCCCTCATCTTCTTCGTCCTCCTGTTCTTCCTCAAAGGCGGCCTCGATGAGACCTTGACCGCCCTCGCCTGAGCTGGTAGGTCCGGCCGAGATTTCGGCAATGTCTTTCTCGGATATTTGTCTGGTCGGCACGTGTCTGAACAGCGTCCTGTTGGTCCAGATGTGCACGCCCAGCTCGCCCTCGGTGGCGCCGGCGAGGTATTCGCCCGTGTTGGAAAAGGCGATGGCGGTGCAGGGTTTCTCGAGCCGGAAGGCGTCGATGAGGTGAGCCGTCGGCAGGTCCCAGACGCGGACGACGCGGTCCTGCGAGGCGGCCACAATCCACCGGCCGTCGTTGGAGAAGGTGAAGTCGTTAATGGTGTCGCGGCAGCCCCAGAACTCTCTGATGGTCTGCTTGGTCTCGATGTCGACGACGCGGATCGAATTGTCGTCGCACGCGAAAGCGATGAGATCGTTGCCGGCGTGGTAGCGACAGCCCGTGATCTGCACCATGGGCGCCCAGTCAATCTCGTCGACTAGGTTGCCCGTGACGAAGTCCCAGAACTTGACGGTGCCGTCGAGAGAGCAGGAAATCACGAAGCGGTTCAGCGGGTCGACCACGATGCCGGTTACGGACTTGGTGTGCTTGCCCGAGCCGGGGGCAAAGGAGGTCTTGGAGGAGGAGCGCTTTTCGAGCTGGCTCACCTTGTCGAGTGCCTTGAGTTGTTGCATCTTCAACTGGCGCATTTGGGCGGGAGTGAGTCGGGAGGGGAAGCGTTGCTTGTGACGGCCGGATTGGAGGTTGAACATGTCTAAGCTACCACCAACGGAGCCAACGAGGGCGAAACTGCCGCAGGGGCTGATAGCCACGGTAGAAACATTTTCGCCATCACCGGTCTTAAGCGCCCACCTACCAGCACGCTTGCGGCCCCAGAACCAGGTGCGAGCCCAGGGGTCGTTCTTGTGAGCTGTTACTACGCTTTCCCAGCCAGTCATAGCAGCAAGCTCGGACTTGGTCGGCTTGCTCTTGTCATTGCCCTTGTCCCAGATGACCTGCCTGCCGGGCATAGCGCCCATGCCGCCATCGCGGTTGAGCGAGGAGGCGATGCATGTGATTTCGGGAGCCTTGAGGTCGTCCAAAGATGTAGTCGGGCCGTGGCTGCCGAGGGCGGTATTGGCAAGAATACCTACCTTCTTGGCCTTCTTGCGAAGAGCACCCTGACTGAGCTCGGAGCTCTGGCCATCGCGTCGCAAACTCCAGCCCCACAGACTCCTGTCCTTGCCACCACTGAGAAGCCACTTGTTGCCGGCCTCGGCGCCATCGAAATCGGTTGGCAAGAATTGCAGGCAGTTGACGGGGGCGGCATGGCCGCTGCGCATGTGAAGGATACGGGGAACGGGCGAGAAGGGCGATTCATCGAAGATCCAGGACTTGAGCGAGTTGTCCAAACCACTGGTCATGATAACGGGCTGTCCTGGGAGGAACTCGACCTTGCTGATACCTCCGCGCACGGTCTTGTCGGTGTGTGATGGCGGGTTATGGGCGCTCCGGAGCACACCCATCACCCTGCCGCCCTTGTTGAGATCCCAGAATGTGACATCTCCACCAATGCTTGTGGCGGTAGCCATGACGCCATCTTTTGTACCATCTTGACCAGCACCCTGACCATCAGTTCGGAAGGAGATGCTTGTAACGGGGGCGTGTTCGGATCCGGCCATCAACTTGAGGGAGGCCTTGTCGGTAAGGACGTTGTGGATGACGAGAGGGCCGTTCGAGTATGCGATGGCGAGAAGCGAAAGTGCCGGGGTAGGTTCCATACAGGTGACGGAGCCAGCGTCGGGAGAGGGCGGAAGGATGGTGTAGATGAGCTTGCCGGTGCTGACATTCCAGATCTCTACCCAACCGTCCTTGCGACCGACAAAGATCTTGTTGAGGAAGGTAGGCATGTTGACGACGCCTCCAGTGAGCTCGTTGTCGCCCTTCTTTGCGGCAACGGAAAAGATGGTCGTGTAGTGTTCGAGGGTGGCCGACTTCCATACTTCGAGGCGGGTTTGGGCGCATGCAACAATCCAGGAACCGAAGATGAGGATCTGCTTGATGGGCTGGTTGAGGTCGGCAGGCAGCTCAAGCTCAGCTACCTTCTTTCCGCGCTGAAAGACCCAGATACCTTGGGCCTCGCCATTTTGAGGGTTACCCCAAGCGGCGAATACCTTTTCCTTCCAAGCAGTTGTCGCGGTAATGTCGGCGGGAGTCTGGGGGCGGGTAACGAAAACGAGATTGAGACCTCTCTTTAGGTCATAGGTCTGGAGAGAGCGGCCGACGGAGGTGGTGATCTGGAAGGTAGTCTTGCCGAGGGGGATGGACGTGAAGGGAACGCTTGTTGGAGATACCAAGCCTACAGTCTATGAGTGGTGAGTTTGTTGTTAGTTTGAGGACTCCCATGCGACCGGCAGACCACCGCAAACTTGTTAAGAGACGTACTCTGAAGGGAGCAAAGATGGAAGAACCCTTCTTCTTCTGAGGCGCCTTGGACTTGACGACAGAGGCATTGAGCTTCTGCCGCTTGGCGGATGTAATTTCGCGATCGGAATGCGGCATCATGTCGTCGAGTGGCATATGCTGCCAACTACCACGATGTCTGCGAATGCCTTTCAGTTGCAAAGCCTTGTTGAAAGTCGCAGTTTGAAGTTTTCGATGATGGTAGCCTTGTCGCGGTGGACCAGAAATTTTCAGCCACAGTTTGGGGTCAGTTGGGGCAGGCAAGTGAGAGCTCCATATGATTGGTCTGCCTCGCTATATGGGGTAGCATGGAAGCTGGACGCATGTGGGACCACCGTCTGACCAGGACCCACAGAGCTTAAATCCAGCACTGTGTATGTACATTGGACTTGGAACCTCCTGCGATCCCGGCCGCATTTTGCAGCCTTTACCGGGATTACCGTTTCCCATCATCGCAGAAGTCGAGACTGTGTTCCAAACTGAACCCCACACCACCATCTGCCCCGCCAACTGGGCGAAAAGCTCTTGCTTGTAAAACACAGCACAGCACAGCATCACCATCCCCTGTCAGCTTCAGCGTCGAAATGCTGGCCTGCGGCGTCATCATCCCGTCCATCGAACCCACCTCAGGTCGTCCACCCATACCACGGCATACGGTTCGCAATGACACCCACCTTCAGCGTTCTTCTGGATTTTCTCTTTGGCTATATCATAAGGCGCCTGCAAAGGTTTGGTTTGACAAGACAGAAATTTGGTTGTCACTAATAATCGTACATGGTACCAGTAGTCAACTCGCAATGGGCTCTTTGGTCTCCATCATTGTCGATCACTAGAGAGGTTTTTTTTTTTTCTGTGTCTATCCAAGCACGCCAATGACGATAGAGACTGGACCTCCAGTTGTGATGACGAAGTGGCTGTAAATATAATCGAATTAGACAGTCCAACACGGCTCGCTTTAGTTAGGAAAGGCCATTACAGAATTTCGAGAGGGATGGCAAAAAAATCGAAAAGACATCGGCCAGAGTTACCTGGGAATTTCTCCATGCAAAAACTGCCTGGGGCTTAGTTTCCAAAGGTATAATAAGTGTATTCTATCGACCATTCGGTTAATCGCCATGTAGTACCCGAGAAAGTGCCAGCCTTTCTCTGCCATGAGCTACCAAAACTCCGGTGTAAGGGAATGGTGGGATCCGGATGCACTTACACGTAGACGTTCAGAATTGGGACTAGTACTACCGGGTCCGTTTACGGAAATTGCCCACATGCCGCCTTTCCCTCTTTCTTTCTTTCCTTTTTTTTTCAATTTTTTTTTTTTTTTTTTTTTCCTTTCTCCCTCCCCGCGCAAACAACGCTTGGACATCATCCCAACTTGGGCTACCTACCTAGCTCTTGTCTCTCCTCGTGTCGCCACAAAACTATCCACCTTTGTCCAGTTGTGTACCAATGGCTATCTTGATGATTACATGTTGTTCTTATGAGCTGTGCTTGGATGACAACTGAAACATCCATCTGGGGCTAGAGGGGGGGGGGAAAAAAAGGGAAGAAGAAAAGGATCAAAGACAGATTGACATCCCCATCTCCCGTCGTCGAAACACTTGCGGTTATCAATTGCTTAGTTGGAACATTGAAAGCCATTGGGCCCCAATCGCTCCAACCTCTATTTTCTTTCCTTTTTCTTTTATCCTTTATTTGCTTTGAGGAGCTGTCTAGTCTAGTCTAGACATCCACCAAATAAGAAGTGCAGTTCCCCGTTTTCTCCCAATCCAAGCGACGCCCAACATCGAGTCCATTAGGCGTGATCACCATCGTCCAGCTGGCCATCACCACTGCCACTGCTATCGCCGACGATATATAAACCCATAGGCTGCACCTGCAGCTTCCCGCAGAAGCCATGGAAGCACACCTCGAACCTACCTCCCTCGATCGTACGCCATTGTCCGCCGACAGCGTGCCGTCCTCCGCCTCCGAAGCTTCTTCTTTCACCCATCCGGACCAAGACCCAAACACTCCCGTCGCGACATCAGAAGCAGCAACCGGCGGCTTGGACGTGCCTGTCGAAGAAGCCGAAGACATGGCAGGCACACCTTCGTCGAGCATCGCAGTCCCCGGCGCCATCCCCATCACCAGTGACAGCGGCATTACAAGTACCGGAAAATCCAAACGACGACACAGTCTCGCCTCTTCCTTTACCAACAGCATAGCTAGCCGAAAGAGCAGATACTCTGAGCCTGGCAGCCAATCTGTTCATGCTGATCGCGCCAATGTGTCGATGCCCCCTCCCGTCACCCTGCCACAAGCATCGTCGTCATTAGCAAAGAGCCCGCGCGCCTCGCTCTCGCACAGCCGCCGCGAATCGTCCAATTCGTTCCGCTCCTTCATCTCGGACGCCTGGAGCGACGCAAATAACAGCCAAGGATACTCGGACTTGGGTGGTGGAGTACATGTGCCCGGCAGCTTTGGCAGCGCCTCGGCGGTCCCACCCCTGTTTTCTCCCCGAGATTTCGCCTTGGCCGCCGGCGATAACGGCCAGAATCAAGGTCAGAGTCATAACCATTCATGCTCCACTACCGTCATCACTAATTCCGGTTCAGCTACGATCGAAGACTCGGAGACTCCCCGTCTACGCCCCGGAACCGGCAACGCGAACGCCGAATCACCTCAACCACAACAACAACAACAACGCCAACTCCCCGATCCCGCTCTGCAGAATCCCTCTACCCCCACCCAACGCGAATACCCCTACCACTCCCGCCGCAGAAACTCGTCCTTCTTTGGCTTCGAGTACAGCCAGTCAGACAGCAACAAGCGAAAGAGTATTTCGTCCATATACTCTCTAGCTTCGGCCCGTGGGGTTCCCAGTTCCGAGAGCGGCAGCACCAGCGGCGCCACCGGCTCTGCCCGAGTGGTATCAGGCTTCATGTCTTCCTCCGCCCCCTCCAAATCGGGAGTCATCCCACCTGCCAGCACCGCCCAGACGGCAGAAGCCAGCGTCTCGACAACCACTGTTACAACGGGAAGCCAAGGCGCGCCAGGCACCCACCAGCTCTCGCCGCGGGAATCGCATTTTCAGCAGATGGGCGACATGCTCAAGGATGGCCAGAGCAGGGGAAACCATCACCATACTTCGCAGGCTCACGGCCACGGTGTTCCTGCTCCTGTGAACACATCTGTTGCTAACGGCGCACCACCCGCACCACCCACACCGCGAGCGATTCCACCCAGGTCAAGGAGCAGGGCGAAGCGCAGATTCAGTGGTAGTACCGCTGCTAGCGGAAATCAGAGTCCCAATGGTGAAAGAGTGGTATCAGGCCATGAACACCGGCCTCCCAAGGAGGAGCACAAGCCTGCGCCCTACGGTGTTATCGGTGTGTGTGCCTTGGATGTGAAGGCGAGAAGCAAGCCCAGCAGAAATATTCTGAACCGCTTGATTCAGAACGGCGAATTTGATGTTTGTGTCTTTGGCGATAAAGTGATTCTTGATGAAGGTGCGTCGATCCTGCGCTGTTGCCGCATCATTATGGACGAAAAACAATGACTAACTGTTTGGTGGTGATGCAGAGGTCGAAAACTGGCCCATGTGCGACTATTTAATCTCGTTTTACTCGGACGGCTTCCCCCTTGACAAGGCCATCGCCTACGTCAAGGCACGCAAGCCCTTCTGCGTTAACGATGTCCCTATGCAAAAGATACTATGGGATCGCCGCCTCTGCCTTCGCCTCTTGGACCGCATCAATGTCCCCACCCCTCAGCGCATCGAAGTGAACCGGGACGGTGGCCCTCACCTGTTGACCCCCGAAATCTGCAAGCTCATCAAGGACGTCAGCGGTGTACAGTTTGAGCCCACGAATACTGATCCAGAGTACGCCAAGCAGGTCGCGCCGCGCAAGATCGAGCTCCTCGAAAACGGCGATGTTCTCTCTGTTGACGGAACGCTAATTAAGAAGCCATTTGTCGAGAAGCCTACGAGCGGTGAAGACCACAATATCATTATCTACTTTCCTTCCTACGCTGGCGGTGGTGCAAGGAAGCTTTTCCGCAAGATCGGCAACAAGAGCAGTGAATACGTGGAGGATCTCAACGTGCCCAGGTGCATCACTCAGCCCGACGAGAGTTTCATTTACGAAAAGTTCATGCAGGTCGACAATGCCGAGGACGTGAAGGCGTATACTGTTGGGCCAACATACTGCCACGCTGAGACTCGCAAGTCCCCTGTTGTGGACGGCGTCGTGCGAAGAAATACGCATGGAAAAGAGGTCCGCTATGTCACAGCCTTGAGCGACGAGGAAAAGGAAATTGCGAGCAAAATCAGCACAGCATTCGGACAACGCGTTTGCGGTTTCGACTTATTGCGGGCCGGGGGCAAGAGCTATGTCATTGACGTGAACGGCTGGAGTTTCGTCAAAGATAATGAGGACTATTACAACCAGTGCGCCAAAATCCTCAGGGAAATGTTTATCGCCGAGAGGCAGCGCAGGGGTGGAATACCTTCGCCGTGCCCGTCTCCCGCCATCTCCGAGGTGCCTGATCCTCTTGCCGCTCGCGCAGCTCTCATGAATAAGGAGAAGGAACTCAGCGCATTGGCGGCAGCCCAGGGTAAGGTGAGCTTGGACAAGCAGAGGTCGGACCACACCAGACACCACGATGCGCCGCCGCACGTCAAGTCAGATACCTCGCTTGTCTCTAAGCTGTCAACCAAGCCGAGCAGCCCGCGCAACAGTCAGTGCGGAGAGAGTGCACCACCCACAGCGCCATCAACGCTGCCCACTACCCCTTCGCTCACTTCTGTCGCTATTGCTGAACAGGAGCATGAGCATGAGGAGACGCCGCCGCCGCCTCCCCCGAAGCCTAGCTGGAAGCTCAAGGGTGTGGTATCTGTCATCCGCCACGCTGATCGTACGCCGAAGCAGAAGTACAAATTCACATTCCACACAGACCCCTTCATTCAGCTACTCAAGGGTCACCAAGAAGAAGTGCTCCTGATTGGTGAGCCGGCGCTGGCAAGTGTACTTGATGCTGTTGATGTGGCCCTGAAGGCTGGTATTGAAGACCCTGTCAAGCTGAAGTCACTCCGCAACGTCCTTGTGAAGAAGGGCGGATGGGCTGGTACCAAGGTCCAAATAAAGCCAATGTTCAGGAAGAAAGACAAGCCCAAGAAGGAAGACAAAGAGAAGGAGGGCGAAAAGCCTGACGAAGAGGCCAAGGAGGATGCTACACCCGGTGAAGGTGACAGTGTCGACAAGGACGGTAACTCCAAGCCTCGTAGGCCAGTTAAGAGGCACGATTCCTTGTCAGGCGTTACCATGTCCAAGTTCACTGCTGCCGAGGAGAGCTTGGTGCTGGATAAGCTTCAGCTCATTGTGAAATGGGGCGGCGAGCCGACACACTCCGCCCGCTACCAGGCACAGGAACTCGGTGAGAGCATGCGTAGTGATCTTGGTCTCATGAACCGTGATATCCTGGAGGAGGTCCACGTCTTCAGCAGCAGCGAGCGTCGTGTCGTTACCAGCGCTCAGATCTGGGCAGCTAGCTTCTGCAAGAAGAAGGAATTACCTCCCGATTTTATCACCATCCGTAAGGACCTTCTTGACGACTCGAACGCTGCCAAGGACGAGATGGATAAGGTAAAGAAGAAGTTGAAGGGTCTTCTGCGGAAGGGCAATGAGCGGCCGCCTCAATTTGCCTGGCCTGAAAACATGCCTGAGCCGTCCGAGGTACAGACACGCGTGGTCCAGCTCATGAACTTCCACCGCAAGGTCATGCAGCACAACTACGCCAAGCTTTACAGCGGTGCTGTGAACTCTCTCAATGCGATCAACAACCCTAGTATGGAGATGATCAGTGAGACTTCCAGCTCGTCGCTGTCGTCACTTGGCTCGTCACATGTGAACGCGGTGAACAGCATCCAGGCCAGATGGTGCTGTGGTGAGGACGCCGAGCTGTTCAAGGAGCGTTGGGAGAAGCTGTTCGCCGAGTTCTGCGACGGTGAAAAGGTTGACCCTAGCAAGATTTCGGAACTCTACGATACCATGAAGTTCGATGCCCTGCACAACCGTCAATTCCTCGAATGGGTGTTTACTCCACCAAAGACTATGCTTGAGGAGGACTACGGAATCCTGGCCCCTCCTAATGGCAGCAAGGATGCAAAGTCACCGTCCCCTGTTTCGAGCACCGATAATGAAGCTTCCAAGCCTACCGAGAGCTCGTTGGCAGAAAAGATCGACTCAAAGGCTGTCAAGCGTATCTTCCGCAGGCGGTCGTTCCTACACGGGTTCAGACCTGGGCCAGGTCCGGAATCGGAGCTCCCGGAGAGGTACTTCCACCTCCACAGGGGCAACAGCCAGACCAAGGCCAAGACAGACGCTCGCTTTGAGCCTTTGCGGGAGCTGTACCAGCTAGCTAAGGTCCTCTTTGACTTTATTTGCCCACAGGAGTATGGTATTTCGGACAGCGAAAAGGTGAGAAGCGTCCCGTCTTAAAAAAATGGCCTTCCTATTCTGGATTAGATGACTAACATGTTGCCTAGCTTGAAATTGGACTCCTGACCTCTCTTCCCCTGTTGAAGGAGATTGTTAAGGACCTTGAGGAAATGCAGGCTTCGGATGAAGCCAAGTCCTTCATATACTTCACCAAGGAGTCGCATATCTACACCCTCCTGAACTGCATCTTGGAGGGCGGCCTAGAGACCAAGATCAAGCGAGCTACCATCCCTGAGCTCGACTACCTCTCGCAGATCTCGTTCGAGCTGTACGAAATGCCAGCTGACCCGCCAGCTGATGCGGACGGTATTCCTGCCTTTAACTACAGCATCAAGATTACCATCAGCCCTGGCTGTCACGTTTTTGACCCGCTGGATGTACAGCTTGACAGCAAGCATTGCATTGGCTGTGCTCCGCGCAGGAGCTTAACGGCTCATACAGACTGGATAAAGGTTATTGAGACGTTGAGGGCGAAGTTCCACCAGTAAGTCATTTGCCCACCTGAACTTGATATACCATGGTAGTAGGATTATAATTGACACTCATCGTCCTCATCCAGAGTAAAATTGCCCAAGACTTTCCTGGCGGTTAACCTGTCGGATGCCTTTACTTTCCAAGAGAAGCCGCAGGGTGGTGATGAGGCCACCGAAGTCGAAGCCGAATCAGAGGCGACACCTGAGGCGGAGCGGGTGAAGGAGGTAGAACCGGAGGTGGTAGAGCCTGATGACACCGAGGCTGTCGCTGCTAATACCACCGACGCTGTGACCGTTGACGACGTAACAACGGACGACCACTCTGATGTCCTGGAGATTAAGATTCCTGAGGATCAGCATGCCGTGGACGTTGAAGTTGTTGACGATGGCAGTGCTGCCGAAGCCGAAGTATCAGAGTCGCCAGAAGCTGCTGCGGGAGATGTATCACTGCTGCCAGAAGTGGAAGCAGCAACACCTCTGACTGCTGTTGCGTCGAAGACGGAGCAATAGGAAAAGTAAAATGGAGCCTACCGATAGGCTTGATTATGAGTGCACACTTTGATTCCCCATTATATTGCACCATTCATGTATAAATACCGTCCGTGCATTTATTGTCCTTGGTTGCTTTTTCCCGGCTTCATCTACCCTGCCCACCCTCCCTCTTACAAAGCCACGGCTTCGGGGCTTTGGGGTTGTTTCAGCCTCCACCCACCACCTTTCCTGGCTAATTTGTTATGATCTCCCTGGACCGGGCCGACTACGCACTTCTTCTTGCTGCTGCTGCTTCAGCAATGGTGACATGCAAGCCCGGCACAAGACGGGGGGTTTGATTGTAACCTAAACAAAGACGACGGTGGTGGTGGTGAATGAAACCCTCTCGCTCTTATGTGCATCTACATATGAAAGGAGGGAGAGGGGCAAGTTATGATGACATTTGATAATCTCCGAAAAGTCAGTATGGTTACATTATCGGGTTGGGTTTCCGGATCAGTACAGTACTAAGCGGCCATCTGAAGTCTTTACGTGTCACTGTGCATAGGTTAGTGTGGCTCGGTGAGGTATCGCTGTTTGGGTTGGTGTGGCTCGGTGAGGTGAGGAATGCGCTGCTCGCTGAGGGAAATGTGATTGTCAAAAATGGAGGAAGAGCGAAATTCTAATATTATGTTATGTTATGTTATTCCGCGAGTAGTATTATTACCTAGGTAAATAGCAGACATGGTTGGTGTTGCTTGCTCCTTTGTTATTCATTCTTCTTGTCTCTGGGGTTACTAAGACTTTTGTAAACTTTAGTCGTTGCTCTCGCTATTTACCTTAGGTACCTGCTGCTTCCTGCCACAGTGTTATAAGATGTTACTAGGTAGTATTGTTGAATCGAAATAGCGAGTCGTTCTCCTCCTAGTCGGTATCAATTGACATGGCTTTAGTGAGCTGAGCTGACGTCAACAACGCAAAAGGGTCTTTTTGCCTTTTACTCTCTTTATCTCTCTTCTTCTTACTCCCTTCCCTTCTCTCTCTTTTCTCCCTGTCTTAAACTTTTCCCTCCGTTTAACTTATGCTCTTTCTTCCTTGTTATTTTCTGTGCTCTGTTTCTTCTTTTTCCTCTTTTTTTTTTCTCGTCATTTCCCCTTTTTTTTGTCCTCTAATCTACTTGTCCCTCTTTCTCTTTAGTCTCTCCCTGATTTCTATCTTCTTCAATCCACCAACGAATCCTTACTAACTAGCTGATTAGTTCCTACACTGTAATCATACTTGTAGTACAAGGCAATCACTAAAAAACAAATGTCTCCAATGGTTGAGATGGAATCGTAGATAGTAGGGTTTGCATCTCGACCGAGAGACTACCTATGTGATGAGCTTTTGTTTGTGCGCCAAGAGAAGAACTGTAATACATGATGTTCTTGTTAGGTAGACTAAAGGTATCTTCTATACGAGCCAAACATCGTTCTTCCAAGGTGGTGGTGGTGTGGTGTAGTGTAGTGTAGTACAGCCAGACAGGAAGGTGTGGTAGTATTCTGACTGTTGAAGAAGAAGTAGAGATCTCAAATGTGATTAGTTACATCAAGCAACCTCATGTATTTTGATATTGCAAAACCGTTTTATCTCTCTTTCCTTTAATTACAGAGGCACTCAACAGGCTAGAGGTCAGAAGTAGTAGTGTAGTAAAAGCACATCAAGCACAGACATTGTTCACCGCTTGGCTGACTGGAAATATGTGACAAACTCTATAAACTTCTGGGATATATCCTTGCGCATGTGTACCACTCACTGCGTTTTGAGGAGGGGGAAAATAAAAATACCAACCGGGTAAAAGCAAACGCTTGTACATACTTCTTTTTGCAAGCATGATGCTTCGATCCCGCCGAGCGTACCTAGTGTACAAATCTGGAAGTTCCTGTGTGTTCGTTCCCGTGCACTGCGAGCCATGCGGGCAACGGTTGCTGTGATGGTCGATCTCGTCACCGTTAAACAGTATGGATTGATAGCTGTGCTTCACCTTCACTTGCGCATTCTACAACGTACCGTACCACCTGTGTCTTTGGAGAAAGCAAACGGAGTACCGGTACCCTATTTAGGGCACGAATATACATACTGATGATGTTTGAGCATCTGTCTCACTGCATCTGGAGGGTGGACTCAAGGTATTGTAAATTTCAAAAAGGTGATAAGTGGATTCTTGGCTAGCTAAACCACCCCCCCTTTACCCCCCAAAAAAACTGAAAAGGAACCTTGTGGCGCAACGTTGAGTGATACTGGTGGGCGCAGCGGATTTACCGCCAAGAAGGAGGAGTATCCTTTTTCAACGGCTCGGATGAACGGCTAGTGATGCAAGGGAAATGAAGAGAGGGAGGAAGCATAAGTCGAAAACTTATGAAGGCCTACCTATAGTGGTACAATACTACTAGGACTAGTTGGGGACTGTCGAGTCTACTTTACGTCTTTGGAGGTTATAATTGAACTCTAGATGGAGGAAGCATGAGCAGCACCCAAATCAGAAGCACTTGCTTTGATGGCATATCCTGACGGGTCATAGGCTTATGAGTCGAACTTCCATCTTTTGGCCTACCAAGCATGAAATATTTTGAAGAGGTTCAAATGTTGCACAAAGCAAGGACGCATAAAGTCTCTTGATAACATTCGAACCATGGGAAATAGTGCCGTTTTTCCTGTTTGACATACACCGGGACCTCTTGTCTGAAATTAACTTGCGGTGAGAGCTCAGCATCCTGGACTTGGTTGATGAGTATCGAAAAGGGTGGTTGAGAACTCACTAGAAGGCTTCAAGATACCTTTTGTATGTGAGGTAGGTAGAACTCCCCGCCATTACGAACGGGATGGCGTTCATCACTGTGCAACGGTTTGACGTGACGTCGGGTACCAGCATATGAGGCTAAGGGCCATCTTGGACGACGTACCAGATCTCCGCGGCATTACATAGCTGACTTGACATATTGCGATATGATATGATGGATTTGGCCAAGTTCCTCTCCTGATGTCATATTGTTTGGAAAGTTCGGATTCCCGGGAACGTTGAACTTTGGCTGAATAGTAGACCAAAGATTTTAGGTAACGGCACCACACTCTAGTTGTAATCACTGCTGCATACAGAGTGACAAAAGCTGTTAGTTCAAGGCTCAATGATACTAGCTCAAACGTGTAGTCGTATCTGACGTGATGGAATTGCAGAGTTCAGACGCACCAATTTGAGGGGAAAGGTCCGGTTTAAGCGACCTGCATGTACACTGTAGATGCATGGTAGGTCTATCTGCATGTAATCAGGTACCGTTATATGTCAAATGCGAGAGATCTTGGTGGACTGGGCACGGTTATCAGGACCTTATTTTGAACAGTGGCCATGACGATGGCAGGTGGAAGATTGATTCTAGACAGCCAGCATCCACGATTCGGCCGCTTTACACAGTAAGTCATGCTATAGACATTGATTAGCGTGGATGTTTGATAGCTTTAGCCCAGCCTATCCATTCACACCGCCGCTCACTCTATGTATCGTGGTACTCAGCGGCCAAATGGGCATGTTTACAATTCAAAAGCCTTGTGCACACGGTCTTGTAGTTGGGCGGTCGCTGTGTAGGTAGTGTAGCTTTGCTCGCTAGGCTAGGTAGGACGCAAAGAATCATACCTACTGTAGGCGGCTTTAGGCGAAGCGCATGAGTTTAAAGTCAGCAGAGCGGACCGGAATCATGCCAATTGGCTGGTCAGCAGTGCGGCAGAAAGTCAAGCTTGTACTGGTTGCCAGGCTGCCGGTGGCCGGCGATGATCGACTAAACGGTACGTCCATCTGCAAACTGCCGTATCGGCCACATCCGACGTTTTTAGCGGAATTTTATTCTGTACTAGAGTGAAAGACTGAGCCTGTGTTCGGAATGAGGTGATGTGTTCGTATATCCGCCCTCAGATCCGCTATTGTCGCAAGTGGTGGAAACCAGGCGCTCTCGCCGTAATAATGCCGTGGGCCTTCATTTCTTTCGGAGGGACGTGCGACGCCGTTGAGGCGATCTCAAAAGGCATCTGATAGACTGTCAAGCTGGGGAAGTGCCGAAAGGAGTAATGGTGCCGAACGAGGAGAAACATGTGGCTGCAGTGCAGAGGTAGCGCCAATTCCAGCATCACTCCTGAACTGTGTGTACAGTGACGAACACAGCCACTCTAACGGAATCGCAATGGTCGTTCGATGTGCAACGCCCCTCGAAGTACGGGCACCATGGGTTGGAAATGGTTCGACGGACTCTCTATGGCATTGGTTGCGATGCCTCGGCTTGGAAGGATGTGAGGCGTTCGACATAGCTAACGGAGCCCCGGAGGCACCTTCGGGCCCCTTGTGCGAGGGCTACTGCGTGGAAGCTTTCGTGGAACAGAGGCTTGTTCCACTATCAACCCCTTGGAGCGTCATGGCTACCCTAACAAGTATTAGCGAAGGGCGCTAGAAGCTTTTCAGAAGATTCCGCACCAGGGGGAGGCTCCAGCTCGACGGTTACCCTCGTAGGTACCCTTGCTAGGCTGGCAGCATACTGTAGTATTCGACCCACGCATACATACCATGTACATATCTCCCACGCCCATCTGAGGTGTCACTGTTCAGCGGAACACTGGAAGGGCTGACCCGACTGTGCTGTGGTGTACCGTGATGAATGATATCAGGCAAGAACAGCGACATGGACACATCTACATCATGCTCGAGATGATGGCGCAGGTTAGAGATGGTGCCCCACCACATGCCTCAGGTAAGATGAGCAGTCGCCCCGGTAAACCTCCTCCGGGTCCTCTTCTGGGAGGAGTCTCATTTTCGCAAATGGTGTTGCGTCGGCCCGAAGCTGACATCTGAAGATGCTTTGTGGCCTTTGCTGATGGCTTTACACTGGTGACGTTCCATCCCGGGTTTGAAGGGTATTCGCATTCGGACCCTGAAGGCGAAGACGTCGGGGTTTGACCGTTGAGATGGTGATCCGGCAGCCAGGGACAACATGTGCTCTGATCGGGGTTGGGTGGGATAAGAAACTCGTGACGGCAGAGGTCCTGGAGATGAAGAAGCTGAGTACACTAGAGGTAACTAGGTCGAGGTGATTTCCTCTTGCAGGGAAGCATCGATTGGGTCGGGACGAAGTCCGCCATTGAAGCCAGGCACAGAAACGTGCATAATTCAAAGCAGCAATTCACAAAAATTGTGGATCCAGAAGGAGCAAATGCAAAAGACAGGAACAAGACATGGAAGGAGCTCGCCGAGTTATGGTGCCTTTCCGAGAAGTACCTCTACTTACGCTAGGCTTAGGTGCCCAATCTTAGCGGAATTACCTACCTACCTACCTACCTACCTAGGTAGAGGAGACAGGGCCGAGCAGCAGGTCGCACTTGCCCTTTACGTAGTCCCCTTGCGACTCGCACGGAAGATAGTACAGAGCGATCTTCAGTTCTTGCCTGCCATAATGGGTGAGCTCAGGCGGGGTGTTCCAGATAAAAGTGGAAAGGAGTGACAGTGAGATGGAATCTAAGGCAGATCATCAACGGCCACCCGAGGGTAGCAAACCAAGTAGCAGACGTCGGTGCTCAAAGCTCCCCCTTCCCTTCCATGGGATGATTTCATCACCCTGACAAAATGGAAGGTTTCTCAGGCTCCAAGCATCTCGTTTGGGCATCACCGCTGTGGATTATTTCCAAGACCCAAAACAAGCCACCGTGGGCCATCACACAAGCACCATATCTTCATAGCCGTTTCACCCGGCGCCTCTCCACATTCCGCCTTCAACGGAATGAACCCAAGCGCTATTGCCAGTCGACCATCTCTCAGGACCTCTATGGTCGTGATGACCTCTACGGACCGGGTGGCGGAGACAAGAGAAGATCATCGAGTGACTCTTTCACGTTCCTGGGCACATCATCCTTCCCCGTCCCATTCGATTGGCCACCAATGACTAGACTCGAGTTGGGCACATCCCATAGTCCATCCTCCGACCCTATGATGGGGGATTGGTGGACACTGGGCCATGGAGCTAGTGAATATTGCGCTTTACCCCCGTCTTTTGGCCATCCTGATACCCATCGAGTGCCGCTGGATGTAGGCTGTGAACGCTTCTCGGCTGCTGAGGACTCCCGTCTACTTCGTCACCCCCTTCACACCGACCCCCTGTCGAACCTGTCAAAGCAAAGGAGACGGCGTCCCAGCTTGTCCATATGGGATGCAACATGGTCGAACTCACCGCCGGCCGACTGCCTCATCCAGATGTCGTCTGCTCCAGTGGCCGGTCGGAGACATTGGAGCACGGAGCTGGGATATCCTTTGAACTTTCAATGGCCTGTTTCGTACAACGTCGCTCCATAGACGTCGTGCAGCATTCCGTGGCGTCAGACTGCCGCCGGAGTGTTTCCCAAGGCTGGTTGTCGATTTTCCCATCCGAGACATCCCCTTCGTTTGCGGCGTGAGGACCGGATGAGCCAATGAACTCCCTCTTTTTGACCGTTTGGCTGGCTGCTGGATTGCTGCTAATCCCTCGTTTCCTCGGGCTGTTGCGCATTCCCGGCTCTTCGGGAAAGCATCAGTGTCTGGGTGAGGGATTAGTTGTCAAGTCTTTCACCCTTTTTAGGTTCCTAGACCTGTCCTTAAGGCCACGGCGCAAGGAAAACGGCCGGATCCAAGGTTGACGACTGATCCGCCTCGATAAGTCGGTTCGTGATGCTCCGAGTAGCCCCAAGCTACCCAATCGTAACCCCAAAAAGGGGTCATGATTCTGCCAAGGGACACGATTCAGCAAGGCTACAGAGGGCATACATAAGGACAGGGTTCCCTCGTCAACAAAGACACAACAAGTGCGATGTTCTGCCCGGTTCAAGTGTTTTGGCGGTCTTGTTGCCGTCGGGAATGCCCTGTTGTCTCGGACTTGGCTGATATGTCGCCAACCCTTTTCAATCCAATGGATGTCATTTCAATTGTGGCTAGTGCCGAGTTGGGTGCCGAAACCGGCGGGAGGTGGTTGTTTGGCTGTCATGGATCTGTTTCGTTGTTGTCGTCGTCCTCAATCACACCAGGTACCAGGAAAAGGATGTGATTATCGAGAAACACGCGACACCGTGACGCTGTGGGAAACTAGGCCTGGAAAGACATTTGCAACACCCCACCACCCACTACCATAAGCTGAGCCTGAGCTGTGGGCATGCATCTCCATGGCCCTGCACCACTTACAAGTGCCGTAACGGTGGTATACTATGCTACATGGAAACTGCCAAGAGATGCCACATGCAACACTGAATCGAGATGCCTCCAGCGCCCTACATATCCAGTTGTACCCTAACTTCTAGTGTACAGAACTAGTCCTTCAAGCCACCTGGAAACAGTGCATGTACCCGGTACCAGAGATACTTGACAGGGCCAATACACCTCTACGTACCTCTCCTCTAACAAGCACCCTCCGCCCTAGATAGTGTAGGGGTGGTACGCTAGGGCAGCACCTAGTGGAGCTAGACAATCTGCTACATGGAAACTGAATGGAAACTCGTGGGGCCCGGTGGTGCTCACTGACCTAGTCCCTTTCCATGTTATCACTCTGCTGTTTCTCCCCATGTGGCCTGCCCCGGTCTCCGGCTCGACGTTGGATGCCCAGGGCCCGAACAACTGTGGTTCCAGTCAGGTTATATGTACCAGGCCTGGGGAAAGAGAATATGACGGGATCCTCTCTGCAGGGATGGAACAGGCAGGGACATGGCCATCATCTACTTCGCCCTGCTACTCAGACCTAGCTACTCTGAGGTCAATGATTTCGAGGCCGGCTACTCTATCTCCCCCATCCCCATTTTCCGGGCCCGTGTAATGTCTATGGAACGGTGACGGACCAAGGACCCCTTCCTTTCGGATTCGGAAACCACGCTTCGTCATGCCGCTGGGTCGTCCCAACTTTTCCCACCTTGGATTTGACGGGTCGCTGTGTCAAGCTACCAGCTTTTATAGAAGCATGCTCGAACTCTCAAACGGCTAAAAACACAAGAACAAAGGCCTGACCCATCTATCTCCGTTTACTCCAGTTCGATACCCGTCGAAAAACTTGAGCTTCACGTTTTACAAACACCGGCCGTTGCCCTTCACCAAACGTCCGCGGCTCCAACTTACCATAAACTCCAACCTCACCTGCTTCGGTTGTGAATCTATATCTAGCCTGGATCCTCCCTTCCATTCTTCCTCCTAAGTCCAGAAATCAGCATTGACTACTCAGCCTTCCAAAAACTTTCCACATCTCATCTCGACTTCACTCGAACTCACCCGCGTACACTTATTTTCTTTATTGTCCAGAAAGACAACTATAGGTCGCTGTGCTACATAAATCGGTAAGAGAGATCTTAAGAATTCCGTGATGGGGCAATCCCAATGATCCTATCACCCAAACTGGCTTTTCCTGGCTTTCCCTCTGGTTCTAACGTCCTATCAGAGTGCATCACTTTTCAGACAAGAGTCCTCAATTAACGCCGAGGCCCAACGTTACCGGCACTGACAGATTTATACGGGTATTGAATTTTCGAATATCCATTTCGGCAACCAACCAGGTGGCTTTAAGTTAGTCTGGCCTTCTTCGGGTGACCAAACAGCACCGTCGAACTATCATAATGGCACTTTCCAACGGCTGCGCGCACCACTTCGTCCTGATCAAGTCAGAGAGTAGCTTGATCCAATGGACATGTCAGCTATGCCAGTCAGGGCCCCATTACTTCATCTATGAGTGCCGGTACTGCAAGATGAGAACGTGCCGTCCCTGCATCCCAGGGTCTGCTTAGGCCCGCTTCTGTACCTGGCCGGCACAGATCTCGGCCACTGAGGGTTTTGCCATGTCCCTTGGAAAATGGTTCTGATAGGTGTGCTTTGGGGATTATTCTGGGGCTGTGGCTGGTTGGTCTGTTGCAAGTATCGGTAAGTTGCATAAAGTGAAAAGCGTTTCTGCCAATGATGGTTTCCGTTTGGAGGCTAATCGTTTTTACGGCAGGTTGTTGGCACTTCTGCCCGATCAGTGTCTCCAGGCAACGGGACAAACGCTGCCCACGGCTAAGAACGAACCCCAAGACGATGCGCGATGATTTTGTTTTTTTGGTTTTTTCTTGGCAATCTTCGATCGGACACCGGCGGACAATACCAGTCGAAAGCCTAACGGCCGTCGTCACACCATTATTCTCGGGCATCCTCGTGGTTCATTTTGCGATATTCCATACTTCCCCCTTATTCACACTGACAACAGACGGTGAACACACACACATGCACTTTACTTACAGGTATGGCATTACGGCCGCTCCTAGGGGCGGCGGGTGCGTGCTTGAGAAGAGTGTGCTATCTCCGGAATTACTCTTATCCAACTAGCGGAAATGGCGGACCCCAGATTCCGCTGTGTTGGATCCTGCGCCGCCCGCTGTCAGTCACTCAGTCATGCTTCTTGTGGGGGAAGAACAGGCTATCAACACTTCCAAAACGAACCTTGCCTAGTTACCGGCCGGATCCCCGGGTGAATACTGGTCGTCCCCCTTTTTTCCCCTTTGGCTTGTTTTCCCTCGACCTTTTGCGATGGATCATGGTTACACGTTGTGGCACGCGCGCTCAAAAAAGACAAACAACATTCACTGGCTAGATGGAGTTTCACGGCTTTGATGGATATACCTGGTTAGACGGGACAAAGGACGGGGTTTCTAAGGAGGTTATGGGTACGCGTCTCTCTTTCTGTTTATTTCTCATTTGGTGGGATGATCAAAATGGTTTTCTAGCGTCTGTTATAGAAGGAAAAGACCAGAGTGTGGTCTTAAAGGGAATAAAACCCTGGTACGGGCTCAAAAAAGGGGAGGAATGTGAAAAGGTAGCGCAAAGATAGGAATGATTAAGGAATGAATAGTCGATACAACCAATGGTGCCTATGTGCTCTTAGAAGACTCGAGTGCTCCACCGGACTTCCCAAAAGGGATATTATGTTCAACCACCGGTCGACCGTACACTATGACATTTTGAACTGCACTTATACACTTGTAAGTTGCAAAGTCCCTGAATCAGACTCCGTGTAACAAAGTCTCGTTACGACTTATTATCATTACTTATTTGGTTTATAGACTCCCTATAACAATTCATGCACTAACACTTGGTAATGATCTCTTACAAACAAAGGACAAACTCCGAGTTTTACTCTTTGTTGTGTAACAGAACACAAGAAGAGTACAAAGACACATGGAAGCAAGCAAGCAGTAGGTAGACACTTTCCTCCTTTAGCGACGTTTCCAGATTTTTTGTATAAAAAATCCATCGAATGTCTTGTATGCATGCATGCATGCATGCCTTGTGTGTGTGTGTGTGTGTGTGTGTAACTGTGGCTTTTCTTCTTGGGGGTTTAATTCCACCTGTTAATTGTCGAATTGAGCCTCATCGCTGTGTCTCGGACATAAGGCGGCGCACTCTTGCGACTTTCGTTTCAGATGCTGCATAGAGATGGATTAGGGAACTTGAGGGCTTGCGATTGTTACCATTCAGGTAATGTTGGTCAGCCCTAGAATACATCTGTTGTATATGTAGGTGCGTGATGTAGCACGCTTGCTTTTGCTTTTCTTTTCTTTTC